CACAAATTGATATTAGGATTTTTTTTTTTTTTAGTATTTCATTTTAAATTAAGAAATTAACTAATGTATAATATCAAAATTTGAATTATTTAAAAATTGATACCAAACTTATTCATATACATTCAAAAATAGTAGTTCAGTAAAATTTTGAATATGAATTTATTTACACGAGGATTTTTAAAAAATGTGAAGATTATTTAAACTTTTCTGAAAGAAACAAAGTATAGTTTCTGTGTGTCTCATTCCATAGCAACATCTGTTGTCACAAGATATACCAGAAGATTGGGATAAAAATCCAGTGAAGGTTCTTGTTGCTAAGAATTTTGATGAAGTGGCTTTTGACAAGTCTAAGGACGTTTTAGTTGAATTTTGTGAGTATGGGGTATTTTTGTTAAACTAAGAGTCACCGTTCTTTCAAAGCATTTGTTAAATACATTTCTTAGAGATACACTTTTCAGGCAGTGTGTTTAGTGAACGTGCACTTATACTGTGATTTTTGGTGATTGAACAGTTAAATTATTAAAGAACTTACTGCAGATGTTCAACTTGCTAGGACCAACCACTTGTAGATCAGTTGTTGATCTCAATAATGCAGATTGTGCTATTTTTAGGATATTTTTTTGGGGTACAATAAAACTTGTAGGCAAAAATGGGGGGGATTAGATAATAGAAACCAAAATGGTCGATTTAATGAACATAATGTCACTAAAAGAGTATAGAAGCATCTTTTATTTTGTTTAGATTGTGTATTCTGAAAATATTCTGTTAAGAGAAACTCGTTAAAAAAACAGTTGAAGTATCTAATACTCTGATGGTTTAAGTTAATATAACTAGCAGTAGGTAAATATATGATCTAGGTTTAAAGGGGCAAGTCTGTAAGATTTGTAAAACTTGTGGAAAGAATACTTTGGGTAAAAGATAAGTTGTGGATTAAGCCATATATTCGATTAAGAAAGAAAGAGATTGATTTTTGAGCTGATGATATTAAGGTAAAGTATTAAGTGCTATGATTTTTAAGATTTTATAAATCATCTTCTTTTTATGTAGGACTAGGCCAATTTTGATAGAAAAACCCCTTAATTAAGCAATGTTGAAAACTTTATTTTTACTTTGAAATAACTGGTGAGAATTTGGTGTCATATATGGACGTACTTTCGTGATTTATAAATAGTAAATAGTTTAAACTTGATAAAATGATTTTTCAAGTTATCCATTTCTTTTTCAAAAAACTTGGGTTTCTGACACTAGAATAATGCACATTATGGTAATTATTTGTTGTTACTTGTATCATTATTAAAAACTAAAACTAGACCCATAACTGGATTAAGTTTAAGAAAGAGAAAAACACTAGATGCAATGGTAATAAAATATAGGAAAACTTTAATTTAACACAAGGTTTCAGGCCTAAACCCTTCATCAGGTTCTCTCTGTTAAAGTGGGTTAGTTTAGGTTTGGTTAATTTTTCCTATAAATTTTGAAATTTGGCTTATGGAGAAGTGAAACTGTGATCGTGTAAACTGTCAAAATCAAAATATCTGGTGAACAAATTCTGCTAGTAGTTTATTTTGAGTAACTTTATGTAAAAGACAGAATTAGAATATTATGCAAGATGTTTATTTTGCTGACCATTCACAGTTGATATTTGGTTTAATTGCTACTTTAAAGCTTTTACTATATCCTTTGGTTAGGCAGATGGTTTTACTTATACATACAGGTATAAATATGAGTAATTATTATTCAGCTTTACTAAGATAACATAGTTTAAATGTTTTTTTTTCTTCTACAGATGCCCCCTGGTGTGGACATTGTAAACAACTTTCTCCTATCTATGATGAACTAGGTGCAAAATACAAAGATAATGATAAAGTTGTTATTGCTAAGATGGATGCCACAGTGAATGAACTTGAACATACAAAAATCAACAGTTTCCCAACTATTAAGCTTTACAAGAGAGATACGAATGAGGCAAGTAGTTATATCTTAATGTGGGTACATAGGATAAGCCTTCAGTTCAGTAGTATTAGGTCTTCAAGAGGTTTTTTTTATAAAAAAAAAAAGACCCGCACAATGTTGATGTCCTTTTTAATACCTTCCATATTTGCGTACGTTTTCCCATTAAGAACTTCCCAACTCCATAATCTTCTGTTGCCACCTTTCCAATTGACGAGCAAAGGGCTTTTCTGATGAAGGGCTTGATTTAAATGTTCCAATTGCTGACTATAGATCTTTGCATTGATATTTCACTGTAGATTGAAGAGTTCGAAATGAATTACTCCATTGATTTCCCACCAAATGCAAAGCATCACTTTCTGCAGATGGAGTCGGAAGTGGTTTTTTGTCTAGGACTGAACCATTGTTTTTGGCATTTAATATTTGCAAAGAGAATCCATTTTTCATTACTGATGACAGTTCTGTCCAAAAATGGTTCATGCTTCAGAAGAGACAAAGCAAGGTTCACACATTGGAAACTATGATCATTGGAGAGTTTGTGAGGCACCCAACACCTTCTGTGTAGAATTTTCCCATATTCCTTAGATGATTATATATTGTTTCATGAAAGACATGCAGTTTAAGGGCCATTTCATTTGTGTTGCCTTGGGTTACTCAACAACTATTTTCAAAGCATCATTATCAATTCCAACATGTTAGCCCCTGCCATCAAAGTTTTTACGGCTAAAGTCACCTGAAAAAAATTTGCGGAACCATCTTTGACACTTACGAACGTTCAAAACATTTCCATAAACTTCTTTGATAATTTCTGTGGCTACAGAGGCGTTGTTTCCCATCTTGTATTCAAACAGCATTACATGCCAAATGTGTGTCTTGTCGTGTGTCATCCCTATAAGGGATTAGAATATACTAAACTTTACACATTATGTAGGCTACACTAACATAATGTTTACGGGGGTTTGTTTAACTATCTTGCGTGATGTACATTTTTTGGGGGGTGGTTAATGAAAATGTTCCAAAACGCGACATTAATTTCTTGATGATGTAATATAATGATCCTTAATTATGGTTTTATTATGATAATCAGTTACTAACCTCAGACTTGGATTCTAGAACTACCTTTTTTATCAGTTACTTATAATGACATACATTGCTTCTCGATCTACTCATCTTTGCTAGTTGCTAATAATTGTGAACGTTGTTTTTAGGCATACTCTTCTTTGCTGGTTGCTAATAATTGTGAACGTTGTTTTTAGGCATACTCTTCTTTGCTGGTTGCTAATAATTGTGAACGTTGTTTTTAGGCATACTCTTCTTTGCCGGTTGCTAATAATTGTGAACGTTGTTTTTAGGCATACTCTTCTTTGCCGGTTGCTAATAACTGAACGTTGTTTTTAGGGATGCTCTTCTTTGCCGGTTGCTAATAACTGTGAACGTTGTTTTTAGGCCTGCTCTTCTTTGCCGGTTGCTAATAACTGTGAACGTTGTTCCTAGGCCTGCTCTTCTTTGCCGGTTGCTAATAACTGTGAACGTTGTTCCTAGGCCTGCTCTTCTTTGCCGGTTGCTAATAACTGTGAACGTTGTTCCTAGGCCTACTCTTATCAGTTTTGAATCTCCAAGTTTTACACACACAAAAAAGGTGCACTTCAATGAAAATTGTTCACTGGCAGATAAACATATTAACATAATATTCCAATTAGTGCTAAGATCAATTAATGCTAGCTTTAATGGTAATTTTGTTTTGATTGTGTATGAACTTTTATATATCAAAGTAATACCTACTTAAAAAGTTTTTGAACAGTTGTAATCTGTAAATATGTATGTTTTCTCTCTTATACAGTTTGTAGGAACATGTATTAAGCATAATTAGATGGAAACAGTAAGGTTTTTGTGCTTATGAGTTATACAAAAGTACATACTTGAATGTAAAAACCAAACTTGTCAGAGAGATGGAACTGTAAATTCACTACTCAGCTTCTTTACTTTTAACAGGACTTATTATTATCTACAAATTACAGCTTTTACAACAAATCTTACTTACTGTAAAAGTTGTGACTAGTATATAATATATACTGTAAAAGTTGTGACTAGTATATAATATAATTAATCAATAAGTATATTCAAAACTATGACTTAGTATTGTTCTTTTTCGATTTATGGAAATGCACACTAAATGTCTGTTATTCTGTTTTTATATATTCAATGAGCCAGTGTTTGAACAAAATAGAACAAACTGAATACAGTGATGAGATTTAGAAGGACTGTATGATGCCCTAAAGTTTGTTGCTTGTATCATTTTTTGTGGAATTTACTGTATTTTTGTTACCTACTCAAAAGTTGAAGTTATAGGCTGGGTCATGAAATAATTACAAAATCGTTTCTGCACAACTGTTGTTAATATGCCTGTTGTGATAAAACTTGTAGTTAAGTGTAGTGTTTAGCAGAGCTTGAAAATCATTCAGTTGCTGATTGATTAATGATTTCAAGCTTGTAACATAAAGAACACTGGTTTTCAAATGTTTGTCCTTTAAAAATTTAGTTAGGATAAAACTAGCTTAACAGTTTTCCTAGTAACTTAAAAATGTCATTGCAACACTGGGGTTAAAGTAGTTAAAAATGTATTAAATTCCTGTAAATCTGCTGTTTTTTTTAACAGGTTTTTTAGTTTAACTAGTAACTAGACCAAAAGTGGTAGCTAAAGCATAAAAAATCTTGGAAAGTCATGAAAAGTGAGCTATTAGAGAAATTAGGGCAATGGTTTTCATGAAGTACTAAATGTGGAAACATGTAGGTTTTTTCTATTGTAATATTGGTGTATTTTCTTAATTGATTCCAAGAAGACATGACCTTTCTGCCATACTCTTGTTGAAATCTTGCACTGCAATGGCTGCGATTAGTTAACGTTATCAAAGGATAACAAAAACAAGTATTCTTTAAAAACAATATTCAGTACCATCCGTAACCTTGCAAGCTGCAATAAACATCCCCTCTAAATTATGACTAGTATCTTTTTTAACTCTCTAATAAAAGAACTATTCAGTACCATCGTAACCTTGCAAGCTGCAATAAACATCCCCTCTAAATTATGACTAGTATCTTTTTTAACTCTCTAATAAAAGAACTATTCAGTACCATCCGTAACCTTGCAAGCTGCAGTAAACATCCCCTCTAAATTATGACAAGTATCTTTTTTAACTCTAATAAAAGAACTAATGTTTTCTTGTAGTGATTCATATAGTAGCATTATGTACATGAGATTTCCACTAAGGGCTATGATGAGAAAACCCTCTGAATTGTACATTACACAGGTACAGGGAGTTTGCAAAAAACAATTAATTAGTACAAGTGTATTGTAGTTCTGCTGGTTAGTGCTTGATTCTTAATCTGCGTGGGTTTGAATCCCAGTCATCGAACATGCTAGCCCTTTCAACTGTGAAGGCATTATAATGTGACAGTCAATCCCACTATTCTTTGTTAAAACATTTGGCAGTAGGTGGCGTTGACCACCTGCCTTCACTCTAATCTCTGTTAAATTATGAACAGATACTGTGAAAGGAGATGGGTGCCACCAGGTAAATCTGTCCAAGAATCACCGATGTTTTATCAGCATCCAAGGTACTTTAATGGTCGTAAGAGGCCTCAAGACTCAATAAAACAATGGCGTGTTTTATTCTTGGTTAAACTAAGGGTGTTTGTACAGGATTAAACACTGCTTACAACACTTAATATAAATTTATTTTGTCTTTCATAATTGTTACAGTGAGATATAATTATTAGTTAAGCCGTTACTTGTATTCTTGTAGGTAGTTGAATATAACGGAGAACGAACTTTAGAAGGAATTGGAAAGTTCCTGGAGACAGACGGAGATTACGGAAGAGCTGCACCTGATGAGGTAACCCTTGTTTGTTAAGTAGATATATTTATAGCTTATCTTTTATCTTCCTGTAGGTTGTAGATTTCAGTGGAGAACGTACACTAGATGGCCTGAAGAATTTTATAGAGTCTGGTGGAGTAGATGGGGCTTCACCAAAAGAACAGGTTGGGTACTAACTTTCTTCACTAATAGCATGTACTCTAGTCTTGTGGTGTTGGAAACCTAAAGTTTGTTTTAATAGAAATGTAGTATCGGTCTAATTTAAAACTAATTTCAAAATAATTGTAAATTCAGTAGTTGGGAAGCTTTGTAAATTTTGAGGTTTTTCATGTTATAATATACTCCAGTAATACTAAATTCTTATTGGTGTGGTGATGGATTTCCTGTTCACAATAACTTTCTCCTAGCTTTTGTGTTTATGTAGAGGCTAAGGACTGAAATCTACTAGATAGGAACACCTGATTTAATCAAACTACCCTGAGGAATTAACTAACAGCTCTCTATCTCTCTTGTTTAAAATTTAAAGTTAGTCACAGAAAAACTAATTTAATTTTTTTTGAAACCAAATTTTGAAGTTTTCAAAATTAATTTAAAAAAAGGTATTGTAAGGCTTATAAATTTTAGACAAGATTTCTATGGTTATTGCCCAAAACCTTAACATTGGAGTTGTGATATAGAGTGGGGAACTTATACAATCCTAGTATATAAGGTAGAATATTTGTAACTATCGTATAATAATGAAAGTCTTCCGGATATTTCTAAAAAATCCGGAAACCTTCTGGTTTTCTTCCGGAGAAACACATTTTTTAAAATTATTTATCGGATTTTAATGTTCCATGTCATAGATAAGCATTTATGCAATTGCACGGTTTGTTTACA